TTTTTCATGTAATACTTGTGAAAATATCTACACTGATTGTTTAACTTGTCTGAGTTAATATTATAGAATATTAATAAATAATAAGTGTTTGTGTCTGGATGGCTATTATGAAGCTGGAATCGAATTGTGTTATAAATGCAATGATCTTTGTAAAACATGTCAATCTTTTGCTACACTTTGTTTATCTTGTTACGATATTGAACATAACAGATATCATTCAGGAGAAAAATGTATATGTAAACCTGGTTATTATGAATAAAACACATTGATATGTTCAAGTAATAAAAATTAGATGATAACATAGAATGCTCAAATGAATGTTTAACCTGTTAAGGTTCAGCCCGTTTTTGTACAAGCTGTGATACTAATTCTAAGAGAGTTGATCAATCTATTATACATAAATGTCCTTGTATCATTGGATTTTATCAAGATCAAAATTTTATTTGTTAAAGTAAATTTCACAATTATTATTAGAATGTGATATTAAATGTTAAACTTGCATCAATTAGAGTGATTAATGTTTAAGTTGTAATATATAATTAAACTCTAATCGTAAATCTTTATCTGATTAATGTAATTGTAAAGATGGTTATTTTGTTGATGGAACATAAATTTAATGCTAAAAATGTAATTTGTAATGTAAAACATGTGAAATTAAAGCAAATAATTATCTAATTTGCAAAAATTCAATGATAATTAATACACCTTCTTGTAATTGTATTGATGGATTTTATGAAGATGAGTAATTCAATTGTTAAAGTAAATTTTATTTTTTAAAATAAGTTTGTGCTTCTAAATGCAATACATGCTTGTAGGAATCCTCAAATTGTTTGACTTGTCAACCAGGAAGAATTGAAAAAGATTGCAAATGTATTGATGGATATTTTGAAACTAGATAAAAATTATGTTAATGTATTAATTTATTAATATTTAAATAGAATGTGCATTTTAATGTGCTACTTGTGTTTAAGATCCTTTTAATTGCAAAACTTGTAAAGGTAATAGATTGTAAGAACCATTATGCATATGTGAATCAGGATATTACGATGATCAATTAAATGAAGATTGCTAAAAATGTGATAGTACTTGTTTAGAATGCAATATTAATGGATCTTTATCTTGCTTTGCTAATAGAGAACTTAATGAAGAAATGAATTGTATTCCGCCACCAAACTCAATTTGGTATGATAATACTCCTTGGTGTTCAAGTAAATTATTCCAAAATATGATTCCTAGCTTGTCAAGTTGCAGTAGTTAATTCATATTTATCAGATGACCTTAGTATGATTATTATCCATTTTGATTTTCCTTTGAATCCTAAGAGTTTCGATTCTTATATAGAAGTTAATAAATGCTCGTAATTATTTGAATTAGTATCTGTACAAAATTTTGGTTAAAATTCAGTCTGTACCATTAACTCTGAGGATAATAATGAATTATTTATATATCTAGGAGAAAACTCTAAAATGAATGTTGGTGAAGCAATCAAATTTAAAGATAGTTCATTATCTCATATAAATTGCAAAACTACTTTAAAAACGTTTATCTTTGCAACATTATAATAACCAAAGAATCCATTACCTCCTAAAATTAATTATCATGTACCCCTTCATAAACTAAATCCTTATGCTGAGAATTAAGTATATTTACAATCAACTAAAAACAATGGAAATAGAAAGCTAATAAACATTTATTGGAGTTGTTAGATTGAATCTGGCGAATCTAGCTCTATGCTTAATTAATTTTTGTATTAAATTAACTTTCTCTAAGAATAAAATTTATTAATACCAAAACTTACTTTGCCTAGTGATGCAGTATTAAAATTTAGGATTTAATATTAAAATTTTATCCTTATTTCATCTTATTCTGAATATACAATTTACACTCATGCAGGAGATATTCCATTAATTAATATAGAAATGAAACCCTCATATTTTTTATATGAAACAATTTAAATTGGGGTTTCTGTTGGTACTTTAGTAAATTCAATTTCAGATGAGTCTTCTAAATACTAGATTTAGCTTATAGAAATTGATAGATATCCTTAAAAGTCATCTTCATCAAATTTGAATATTACAATTAATTCAAACTCCTTTGAAATGGTCTATACAACTATTCCAAGATATACTTTAAGCAAAAATTCAACTTATACATTTTAAGTCACTGCAACTAATGTAAATTCTAACAAATCTAATAATTTATATTTTACTTTTGAAACTAAAATGGCTGGATTGTTTTGTTAGTTCAACAATCAAGGAATTTAGAATATTAGAAGAGATTTAAATCTCTAAATATAATGTGAAGATTTTGATTCAAAATATGAAAGGTAAAGTGATCCAGACTTAAATATTGAAGTAGCTTGTAAAGATTTATCATTTAATACTTCATGCAAAAATGAATAAAAATAAA